TTGTTGTGGTTTTTTTTTTTTTTTTTTTTTTTTCCCATCTGTGTTCTTCTGATACAAAGTACACAGCTTGCACTGGCCCATAACCTCTGTGGATCATATCCACTTTACAGTCAATGCATTCTGGAAGTCTTAAAACTTGACAAAGAGACTTTGAGACAGAAATCACCAGTACATGCTTTTCTCCTCTCTGGTCTTTTCTAGGGAAGCTTATACATGCATTCTCTCTGTGGATCCCAGATTGCAAAGCCAGAGACAGCTTTTATATTTCACTTAATGTTGCCTCTTTCTTCTTCAGTCACTTGAGACCTCTTTGGGCAGTAAAATAGTCTGAAATTATTTGGACGTTTGTATCTTTTGGATAGAACTCCTGTTATAAATAGCATTTACTGATTGCAGCTTTTTTCTTTTCTTTTTAAACACTGGTAGAGCTGTTTACAGTTTCTGTACGCACACATCAGGAAAGGCTTTTAGTGTTGGGCTCAGCATGCAACCAAGAACTCCTGTGGAGGGGTAATAGATTTGTAGTCTGAGAGCTGAAGGCCAGATGAAATAACTTCTTTTTCCCCCCAATGGAGAATTGAATAACATGAGGTAGTACTCTGATATTCTTCTGTGTATCAAAGCCAGCTGTGCTCCCAGAATGGTGGTACTGGAATCTCCACAGAATTAATAGTGCCAAGGATGCTGGGGGGGAGGGGGGCGGGGCATGTTAAGAGATGGGACCATCATCTCTGTAAAGTGCTGAAGTTTCTAATTGGGATGATAAACCACTGCATAAAGCATAGAATATCTTGACATCCTTTCTATAGGGTGATTTGAATGTGCTGCTTTTTATTCCTCTTCTCTCCCTACCTTTTTGTCAGTGTTTTCATGGCATCCTGTACCACTATGAAGTATTACCAATTTGCTGCTTCACTTTGGTTTTCTAGAGGTTCAGCATCTGTAAAAGTGACAATTACAAGTGAGCTTGTATCACTCTGAGGCTGGGAATTCTTAAGGCTTCTTCGAAGACAGCTGGTACAGAGCAAGTAAAAGGCTCAGGGTTGGGCTGTATAATGCTCTTTCCAAAACTGTAAGCAGCCCAGCATGCTGTCCTGAAATGCCCTGAAGGGAGAAAACTGTTAAGGAAACAAAGCTGCCAATTATAGAAAAATTTCTGACTCTTTACTTCCAGAATTTCTGTGGTGCCCTGGACCACATCCAGGGCATCAGCTCATCTTCCACTTGTTGGACTCCACTTTTGGTCACCCTGATTAAAAAAACAAACAAACAAAAAAACAAACCCCCACCCCCCCCACCCCCCAAAAAAACAAAAAAACACACAACAACAAGAAGAAAACAGGAAAATACCAGTCCCTGAGCAGTTCCTTGATCTGGTGGTCAGCTGTTTATCAGTTGTGATAGCATGGGTGTTTGTAATAGGAGCTGTTACTGAATCAGTCCACCACTTGCCTGGACAGGTTTGATCCAGTGAGCTGCAAGTTTTCTTTATGCTGAGGCCCAAGAAGTATTTTCAAGCCCACTGCATTTCATTTAAACTTAGCTACTCAGTAGCCGCCTGACTAGCAATAAATATTCTTGGTACTTCATGGTTTATCTACTAATGGTATTTAATAACATGCTGTCATTATTCAGCTTCTTATATTTGAGCAAAATGTTTGGAGTTGGTGGGTATCTTTGCTATGATCCATGTGATCATATCTTTACATATGATCCAATAATAAGTTTAAAGGCTTCCTGCTAAAGAGAGCGAAGGTAATGCCCATGTCTACACTGCGTCTATATCTCCATTTGAAGGCTCTAATTTTCTTTGCCAGTCTGAAGTGTTGCTGAATGTGTCACCAGGTACTGGAGAGCAGTTACTATATTCAGGCTAATTCCCAGCTTTTAAAAATGTTGAGCAGGTTAGCAGGGTATTGTGTAGGCATTCAAACCTGGGTTTCTTTTGTTTTCAGATGGGATAAAGAGGTGAGTCAGAAGCAGCTGAAAAAATGAGGGACAGTCCCTGAGGGAAAAACATCAAGTTCAGACAGGCTCAGGAGGCTTGCATATGAAGTGTTTGTTATAGCCAAATTAGTTCAAGGAAATTAATACACATCTGCAAAGATGTAGATAAGCTGTCTTAAGGTAGGTACTTGATTTTATATAGTGAAGATGAATTGGCCTTTCTGTAAGGTGAATACAAGAGGTTCACTAACTGCAGTTGTAGGTGTTATCTGTTTCTATATTTTACAATATGTAAACTTGCCCGTGGCATAAAGAAACACAAAGCTGTTTGTTAAACCTCTTGATTTCCTTGTTCCTATTGTACTTCAGGGAACATTAGTCCTCTGATAGGACTGAAATGTTCCTAAGTTCAGAGCTTGTTCTTTCTCATGAGTAATTGGGTTATCCTGCTTGTAAATTATCAGGATCTCTTAAGTTAATTAGGTTGTTTGTCCTTTACAGCTATTGAAAGGCTATTCCAAAGCTTAATGTTTGAGATCTCTTCAAACTTCCAGCTTATTCCAGCTGCAAGTCTGGTCTTCCATTTGTGTCTGGTTTATATGTTTATTCTTGGGTTGCTGTAGTCCTTACTCCTTCAGTGCACCCATATAGAATATTCAGCTACTGTTTTCTTAACTTTACTAGACGAAACTAGACTTACAGTTTCCTCCTGTAAAATAGGCTTTTTATTGCCTGTATCGTTCTTAGCCGTCCTTCCCCTCCATGCTGCTTACCATCTGAACGCGGTCATTTCTGAACATGGGTGACTGATACTATTTGCAGAATCCAGATGAGGATTTATTAGCATTTAGTGAAAAAAGATTTTTGGTTTAGTGATTCCTGTATTATACTGTGCTTTTGGCTGTATCTACTGCAGTTATCCTTGTTCTAGCTTTTTTGGGCCTGGGCTTTTTTAATCTGTACAGTTGCTTTTAAGTATTCGCTTGCAGCATGATAACTTTAGTTTTTTGTGTTGCTTTCCAGTAAGGCTTTTATTTTGTAGAATAATTCCTACCTAATGTTTGGCTGACTTTCACAGGTTCTCGAAAGAAGGCTTATGTTACACTGCAGAGTTCAGCTTCTCTAAAATAGATGATCCCCATGCTGTTCACATTAAGCATCAGGGAATCTCCAGCTAGCTTGAATTTCTTTGTGGTGAATTTCTTTTCTGGGAAGATGGATGCCTTTACTTGTTCATCACTTCAGTACCCTTTATTGTACTTTTACAAATGAAAACTGGTCTGCTTTATTAAAACTTATTTTCCTGGCTTATCTCTTCAGACAGCTCCTCCCTGTAAGCAGCAGCTGTCTTAAATCATCTGTTCAGGAATTTTTTTTTTTAGGGAGAGTGGGAGGAAAGAAAGGTTTGCTAATGACCGTTCTGAGTTCTGTCATTTAACAATTCATCTTTTCTTGTGTGCATGGACCTTTTTTCCTGTATGTGTGTGTTTTGCTTTTTTAAGTTGCCACTTCCTTCTCTGTTGAATATTGATGGCTTTGTTCAGTGTAAGATGAACTGAGGAGGATTTATCTTTAGATCTTTATGTTCTAAAGAGATGACAGAGTACTATGCGTGCTCTGCTGGGATCAAAAGGTAGTAGCATTGCAGCAGTGCTTCTTGGTTTATGTATTCTAAGAAACTTCTTGTCTCTGGAGAGCTTTTGGTGGCAAACTCCAATGTATGAGACTATTCAAAAGCTGTGTGACTTGGTTGCTATTCGCTATATTTAGTTCTTTCAAAGAATTAACTTTTCTCTAGAAAACATGTATTAATGCTTTCCTTAGCAGCTCAAAGTGTACTAAAACCATTAATCTTTGCCATTGTGCATTACTTGGGTGAACTGTTGTTCTAAGAGCAATGTAGATGGAAGGATGATGCGCAGATGGCCAAGATGCCACTGGCAGTGTAAGGTTTTGGTCCGATATATGGTTGTTTTCATACACTGTAAGCTATTGTGGTGGAGTTGGAAGTAATTTGGACTTGAGGTCTATCAATCGTCTGACCTTTGCAGTGATAATAATTACTGTTACTGAAATTTGAATAATTTCCTGGAGACTCCTCTGTCGTATTGTCAATTTTTTAATGCTGTTCCTCTAGCTATCAGTCACCCTTCCCAGACAGGACCTAAATCTTCAAGGTGTAAAGAGTGTCTCTTCATAAATCTTTTTTTCTTTATTATATACAGCAAGAGACGGAGGGAAGGGAGTTTCAAGGCCAATTTTTTTATTCTCTTTAGGTGTGGTATGCCTAGGGCATGTGTACAAGGAAAGGGTTGGATACTTTCAAAAACCTTTCAAAGTAATCTTTGGCTGCAGAAATGTCAAAATTGGGCCTCGATAATGGAAGAAGGTAGCAAAGGCTGCAGGAGAGGATAGATTTTTCTCTTAAATCTAGTCTTTTGGGATTTAAAGCTCTTCATCTAGGTGATCAAGGTAAAAGCTGCCTTCCTTATCATTCTCTTCTTTTTCTAGGTTTCCATGAAGATAAACAATTGAAATGTGGATAGCCTATTTGTAGCTTGGTGGTAGTTGTCATCTGGAACCTGCTGGTGTCTCCTCCCAGTAGTTGGTGTAATATTGGCTTCTGAGAGCCATGAAGGTTGTACCGGAGAAGAATGCTGTCCGCATCCTGTGGGGTAGGGAACGGGGTACCCAAGCCTTGGGTGCTCAGCGGCTCCTGCAGGAGTTGGTGGAAGATAAAACTCGATGGATGAAATGGGAGGGCAAGGTAAGGTTGTGGGATAGAGGTGCATAGCTTGATCTTGGAGTGGGGGAAGGGATGCAGGGATTTGAAATAAATTGTCTTGTGATTGTACACTTGATGTGTTACACTTGATATGCTCTCTAGCTCTGTTCAGTTCCTGCAGTGATGTGATACTAGATGCGTTCCTGCAGCGGGTTCCCCTTGTTGTTTGTGTGGCTTACAGTTAAAAGTATGATCATATGACACTTGCAACACTTCCTGCTTTGTTGGCTTTTTCAGAAAGTTGAGTTACCAGACAGTCCACGCTCCACCTTCTTGCTGGCGTTTAGTCCAGACAGGTAATTAACTCCTAGTTCATTCCCTGTTTCAGCAGTCTCCTTACACTTACAAAAGTGTTGGAGGCTTGTGCTCGTTGAGTTGCCCAGTCCTGAACAGCTGAGTGAAACTTCTAGTTCCCGACGTGCATGGATGGAACGTGCGCACCTTCCTAATCTCACAGCTTCGAGCATAGTTGGTGTTTAATTTCTGAGGTACCCAAGCAATGCATAGTTCTAAGGAAAAAGGATCTGTGCGGCCACCATGGGATTTCATAAGAAACTTGAGGGAGTAAAGGGTGTTTTAGTGCAATATGCCAAGTGATGTGGCACACCCACTGGGATATCTAGGACTAAAGAACAGAGCAGAATGATGCGTGTATTGGAAGCAGAAGTGGAGGTGGGATATCTCTTAGTGTCACTTGATTTGACAGTGATTGAGATGGTGTGGAAAACTGGGAATATTTATTTGCCCCAAACTGTCACCCAGGAGTTCCTTCTGAGCTGCATGTTCACTCTGACTTTCAAGGTCAAGTTTGTGCTTGCAGACCAGATAAGCTCATGTTTGCATGGACCCTGAAATCTGGCTACAGGAAGCTTTGTGGCCATTGGTGAAACAGTAGCCTCTTACCCTTTTGAGTTCTGTGTGGGAGAGCTGCTGGGTTAGGTGTGAACAGACCCTGTTGAGATGAAGCTAACCATGGTCTGGTTTTGCTGTACTCTTCTCATGCTAATGTTTATCCTGCCTTCTGCATTTCCAGGACCCTAATGGCTTCCACACATGTGAACCACAACATCTACATCACAGAGGTGAAAACGGGCAAATGTGTTCATTCCTTGGTCGGACATCGCCGCACTCCCTGGTGCGTCACTTTCCATCCCACCATCCCAGGCCTCATTGCTTCAGGATGCCTAGATGGGGAGGTTAGAATTTGGGATTTACACGTAAGTCTTTCCTGAAACATATGTGCCTTTGGTATTTGGTGGGTGGTGCTTTTTTTGTCTGACTTTTTCCCAAATGTTGCCTGGTAAGAGAGCTGTTGGGAAGCTTTGCTGGGCCTGGTCTCTAACAGCACAGAACAGATCATAGCTATCCTCTTCTGTCTAGAGAGGAGGTGACAGATTCTTTGTTCAGTCCCGCCAGGTAGGTCATGCTCCTTAGCCGTGCCTGTTTATTTAATTAGAGTGGTACAGATGATGCTGGAGAACTTTGTGCAAGATACCTGTTTAGCTTATGTGAAAGACGTGCCATTTTTCATTCCACTGAGCATATCTGAACTCTTCATTAGAGAAGCTGCTGCTCTGCCAGTTCTACCTAGTCTGGTGATTGGCACAGAGACAAAACACGTGTACTTACCTGGTCGCTTTGAAATGCAGCATTTTTACAGGCTGCTTGAGACGCACTTACCTACAAAAATACATCTGTGGTCATTGTTGCAAATAGCATTATGTTCTAGACATGACACATGACCTCGTATGAGAGTAACTGTTGTTGTTGCCAAGAAAGCGTGTCACTTCCATGCTCTAGGCAGTCTTGGAGAGATGGCACATACATGGGAACCTAATCATCTCAATCTTTGTGATAAACTGCTTGTGATTCTTGACTCCTCACTCAGGGTGGAAGTGAGAGCTGGTTCACAGATAGCAACAATGCCATTGCATCGCTTGCTTTTCATCCTACGGCTCAGCTCTTGCTGATTGCAACTGCCAATGAGATACACTTCTGGGACTGGAGTCGTCGGGAGCCTTTTGCAGTGGTGAAAACAGCCAGCGAAATGGAGCGGGTCAGGTGAGTTCTTGCTTCTGGGGGAAGAGAACACTTGTATATGAAAAATGGTTAGATTTGGGGAATGTGGGGCATTCCTCTGGGGTGCTGCACCCTCTGCACTGAGGCAGCGGAGAGAAACATTGCTTGCAGCTCCTTGACCCAGCCGATAGAAAAACAGTTCTGTGCGCAGGAAGAAAAGCAATTGGAAATAATAGATCAGCTTGGTTGTTCATGTTTGTAATCCCATGTGTGCCCAGTAAATGCCCAGGATCTACTTCATGTTCATTTGTAAGCTTAGTAATTAAACTTGTCAGCAGCCATAAGGATGAGAGAACCCAGAAGGTGCTGGAAGAGGGTGCTGAGCTATTACTTTGGTGCAGTTATAGAGGAAACTGCATTGCTGGAAACTTGATACCTTCTTTTGACCAATTTAAAATGAGACAATGATGTAACATTCAAGGGAAGTTAATGTACCTTTGTACCAAATTCCAGTTTATAATATATATGTACATATTCCTTAAAATTTCCTGGCTATTTCAATTGATACAGAGTACTTGCTTCCAGCTTTTAACTTCTATATAGTGTTGCTGTGGACTATAAAATAGCTGCAGTCTTCAGCTAGATAAGTATGTTTTCCTTTTCTTAATGTGTAAACTTTTTGACGTCCTTCAGAAGATGATGATGGTAGTGTAGTAATGTTCTCACTGCAAATATTTCACGTGGGATTTTCTTCCCTGCTGTGTCCAGCTTCCTGTGTCAATGTGGAATGTGAACTGACGATTGATACTTTGGCTCTGCTTTTGTTTTAGGCTGGTACGGTTTGATCCCTTGGGACATTACTTGCTCACAGCAATTGTTAACCCTTCTAACCAGCAGGTAAGGGGAATGTCAGTACCTGTACTGACTGACTAATTACAAGATGCTCTACGTACATTAACCCTAGTCTGTTCCTAAGCAGCCTCGTGCTTTTCTGAAAACCTGAAGTCCTTCTAAGCTGAGTTCTGTCTTGCCTTAATTGGTCACATGAATGTTCTTGTGTTATGTGCAGGGCTATTAAAGAGCTCTTCAGTCTGTTTGTTTTACCCTCACTGTCTCATTGGTGGTGGGACAGATGTCCCAATGGCCCTGCTCTTTCAGTTCTGTTGTGACGTTCTGCTGAATTTAAAGCTACATGAGGTATTAACAGTGCTCCCCACAGCTGCTGACCCTCAGATGCTGATGCTTCTGTTGATATGAACAATGTATTGTCAAAGCTCACTGAGCCGTAGGAAGAGGTTGTCTGGATCCATAAAATGAACTTTGAAGTAAAGAGTCAGCTGGATTCCTGCAAGTCAAGGCCTCTAGGAAGGGACGTATCACATCCTTTCATCTGTCTGTGATGGTAGCTGGCTTTCTGCTGTTTATTTGGAGGTATAGGATTTTGCTGTGAGGTGACTGAACTTTGATTGCTTCCTTCTGCAGAGTGATGAGGAAGTGGAAATCTCCGTGGACAGCACAGAGCTGCCGCATTATCGCCAGCGCGCTATCCTTCCTTCCCAGCCTGTGAGACGCACACCCCTCCTCCACAACTTTCTGCATATGTTGTCCTCCCGCTCCTCTGGCATACAGGTGGGAGAGCAAAACAGTGTTCAAGACTCTGCTACCCCATCCCCTCCACCGCCTCCACCACCACCACCTCCGCCTCCAGCCAGTGAGAACACAAGGGCATCTGTCTATAACAGGCTCCGGGAGCGTGTCAGCTATCCCACAGCAGAGTGCTGCCAGCACCTGGGGATGTTGTGCCTTTGCAGCCGATGCTCTAGTGCAAGACTTCCTTCTTCTCTCTTCCCACACCAGGAAAACGCACCCTCCACGTCTTCTGGGGCCACTGGCACTTCCTTCTCCTCTGTGCAGACAGAGCCTTACCAACCCCCAGAGCAGGCATCCGTCACGCAGGAGGAGCAGGGGATACTTAACAGGCCCTCTGCTTTCAGCACAGTTCAGAGCAGCACTGCTGGCAACACCCTGCGCAACCTTAGCCTGGGCCCCACACGGCGGTCCCTCAGCGGGCCCTTGGCAGGCCACCAGTCCCGGTACCAACAGTCTGCGAGAGAGATGGCTTCTGGCTTAGGCGGGTCTGACTGGTCCAGGACAGTGCTGAACATGAGCTCTCGGTCAGAGCTGGAAGCCATGCCTCCCCCTAGGACCAGTGCCTCCTCCGTGAGCTTGCTGTCGGTGCTGAGGCAGCAGGAGGGAGGTTCCCAGGCATCAGTCTATACCTCTGCAACAGAAGGGAGGGGCTTTCTGGCCCCAGGGGCTGAGGCGGACAGTGGTAGTAGCGCTGGCCCGAGCAATCCGGCCAGCATCCGTAATGAGCTCCAGTGTGATTTGAGGCGATTCTTCTTGGAATATGACCGGCTTCAGGAGTTAGATCAGGGGATTGGTGGGGAGCCCAGCCAGTCGCAACAGGCTCAAGAAATGCTCAACAATCATAACCTGCTGACCTTTAACAATGACACGCTGCGCTGGGAAAGAAGCACACCTAGCTACACACCAGGGCAGGTCCAAAGCACGTTTGAGGGTGTGCCTCCAAATACCAGCCAGGTGCAGCCTGCAGAGAGAACCGAGGGCAGAGCTCCTGCCTCTAGCAGGCTGCAGCTGGGCAGCTCTTCCACCCCGCAGGAGGAGAGGACCGTGGGAGTGGTCTTTAACCAGGAGACGGGGCACGGGAAAAGAGTTTACAGCCAGTCGGCTTCAAGCAGACCTGGGAATGTATCACAGGAGGCCTTAAACCAGGAAATGCCTGAGGAAAGCTCAGAGGAGGATTCACTCAGGAGGTAAGATATATGCTTGGCCTTCCTCCTCTATTTTTTCTTAAATCTTTCCCATCTAGTCTGAGTTTTTCAGTATCTTCAGTGTTAAAAACCTTTTCTCATGTGGTCGTATGCTATTTATGTCGATGAAAATAGAAATGTTGCATTGATATCTTTTATAACTACTATTGTCATGCTGCAGATAGGTTCTGAGTGTGTCTGTAAGAACAAACACCAGACCTCTTGATGGGAAAGGAGAATGGTAGCACCGACAGGCGAAAGTACGGGCTCTGGCAGCAGATCTTTGGGGTGAACTGTGTTCCTGGTGTTTCCCAGACACTGCAGAAGGGTAGGAACACAGGATGTGCTACGCTGTCCTTTGTGCCCCATACCACACATGTGCTGCACATGGAGAATCTGCACAGGGTAGGCATGGAAAATTGGGCATGAGTAGTAAGAATTGCTTTCTTGAGTGCTGTGTCTTGTTGAAGTTGTAGTTACTAAATTGGAAGGGTTAACAATCATTTCCTTGGTGTTGCCATATAGGGCAAAAAATGTCAAAGCTCTGTGTCGGTTTTTGGGCATATACCTTAGTTGCAAGCGTTTGGTCAAACCTATGCAGTTTGCTTGCCTTTGATAAGGAGGTAAGTTTCGAAAGTGGTTCCCATTGACCCTAATCTAGGGTGAGCTGGTTGGGGGCATGCTGATCACTGAAAATTTTAGGCTCTGCTGTATTCTTTTTTTACAAAGGTGATTCTTTTTTGGAAGGATTTTTTTTTTTTTTAATATTTCAGATGTGTTACAGGAAACAGAACGAGCCAAGTCAAACTTGCGCCAGGAAGGACCTGTGCTTTGTGTGAAAGTGTCTCTACTGGCTTGTATGGACGATTTAGCTGCATTGGTACTTGGATAGGGCTTCCCTAGTGGGTTTTGAGTTTGACATCCTCTCTGTCAAGTGGTTTGTGCGCTTGTCAGAGGAAAGGTCCAGTCCTGCTGTTTCTCGGAAATGGATGCTTTGTGCTGTAGGAAAGCTAAGTTTCCAGGTTGGATGCACGTGTAACCGACTGTGGAGGCTTTATACATAGGAGTGCCTGAGGAAAGGGAATTCTTTCCTTCTTCCTGCAGATAAGCTGATTATACTCAGTCTGAAACAGTGGCTGCCTTTCTTGTTGCTGTAGTTGCATAGCAAATAAGTGGTGATGGTCATGAAAATATTCATCTGCTTCTAAATCCTTGCCCCAGTTTTTTTTTTTATAGCCTGCCATAATGAGAGTCTCCAGCTGATTACATGGTAGCTACTTCTTTCTTGGGCCTGGACTTACCTGCCGTTAATTTAAATCAGATATCCTCTAGTCCCCTATTGAAGGGCAGAGAGGTGAGAAGGATCTGACAAATTTAGCTTTAAAATGGCACTTGAGTAAGTCTTGCATTATCTTTCTTTTGAAATAGCTGTACATGCTCATAGTGTCTCTCCACTGTGTTGCTTGTTCTCTGGGCCGAGTCGCTGTAGCATCAGAAATAATGAGGACAAATAACCTTTTTCTTGATCAGGCAGTTGGCACATATTTGGACAGTGAGGTGTGGTGGGATCTGTAGATGTGATCTTTTCTGTGGGAGCTGTGTAATTTAAAAATGCCCTGAGGCATATAACTCAGTCCACCGCAGCGTGCAGGAGCTGGATGGGTTGCTGCCTAACAGCTGGAGTCCTGTGACTGAATCTCTGGGTCACTTTGCCTCTCGCCCATGGTGGTTGCTGCTGCCTGCTCAGTGGCTGTAGCATCTGTGCAGGGTTAGTTGCCTACCTGGTTGCCTGTGCAAACAGGTGCTTTTTGCTGAGACATTAATTTGAAGTGTGTAGTTCAATGTGTGATCTTCATTCCAGAGGAATTTCTGTAAGATGAAACCTTTAGTGAAACTCTTTTGGCAGAGGTTGCTGAGAAGCTCATAGGGACTCTTGTTTTCCCAGTCTCCTGCTTCTGTTGTCAGGCTTTTCTCAAGAACAGGCATGGCAGGGGCTTCTGCTTCCCTTCTAACTGAAGGTAAGGTAACTGTAGAGTAGTGAGGTAAGGGAGCTGAGAGCAGTGAGCAGTCTGGTATTAAATGCTCATGGCAATTTCCTTGAAGTAAAACTTCATTTCCTTTCCTGTTCCACTCCATTGGGTGGACTTGTGGGGAGCTTTATGAAATCTTTCGCCTTTAAAGGAACCCTGCATGTGGGATAGCTATATCCTACAGGTGTCATTTTTTTCCCTTCTCAAACTAGCTGTTATTTTTTTTTCCTTATAGAGCAATAACAAATCAGCAAGCACCCACTTACATGATTTTTGTGTAGAATGAACACCCTCAGGTCCAGCGTTCTTGTCTCCCAGACCTAGGGTGTGCTCCCACAATTGGAAGTGCTGGAACCACTCCTGCACAGCAGGGTCCAAAGCATCTATTAACCTTTGCAGCTGCAGAAGTGTGCAAAGATGGTGACTAAGGTTCACGAGATGTAAGCTGTGTAATGCTGAAAGTGCTGGGGAAATAGAGGAGGGAAGGTAAGCCTTCAAGCCTGAGGGTGCGAGTGATAACTGCATACACACTTTAAATCGATGTAAGTTTGTGCCTATGGACCTCAGGTTAGTTGTTAGCATTGGGGGACATGCATGTATTTGCTTGTAACCTGTTTTATATTGTTTTACTTTGTTTCTCCATTAGATGTCCTCATTGGGCAATTGAGCACTGTATTCAGAGGCCGGCTGAAAAACTTAAGATAAAAATTGCGTCTGGAAACTGTGTGTGTATGTTCTCATTCCCTCTCCGTGGGCAGGATCCATTCCTTGACCTGGCTTGCCTGGCTGAGAAGTAGCTTGCTGGGAAGATATTGCCATAGAGGGTCAATTAAGTTAATAGGTAGTTTAATGAAGGCTGTTCCTCTTTGAATTCTGTTAATGTAGCTATGCCAGCTGGGTAGGGAGAGAATTCTGCTCTTTCTGATGGTGCTGGACTAATTATCTTGGGCTAATCATGAAGGGATTAATAAGCATGTAATGAAGCTATTCCTGTCTAACAGCTCTGGCACCTCTATTAGAAGGAACATGTCACTGAGAGCCTCGGCAATACAGCAGCCATTCAGCTTGGCCTGAAAGCATCACGGGCGTTGAGCTGTGTGCTTCTTGAAGCTGTGTCAGTGAGGTATGAAATTGGGGAAGGTTTATGCTGAACCTTAAGCAGAAGATGGTGAAACTGAGCTTCAGCTTTTCTGAGGTTCTCCAGGCTGATCACATTAATTCAAATGGAGGGTTTTTTCCCCTGTGGATCTGTCTTTGCCTCACTTCTAACATCAAAGTGAGAAGAGCCTCAGAAATCCCCGAAGTTGTAATGTGAAATGTGCTGCATAAAATTGGTGATAGAAACTTTTGGCGAGATGTAAATGAAGGAAAGATAATTGAGCAACAGATGATAGCTAGTTTAATTTTTCTATAACTTCCTGTTAATTAAAAAAATGGGTTGAGGAAGCATTGTGTTAATACTGTAATCTTAGTGAGGGAAAAGATCTTGTAAGTAAGCCATTGTAGCTGTGTGGGCCAGTTCAGGTTGGTAATGAAAAGCTGAACAGAGAATGAAAGAGGATTCTTCTAGTCAGCTGCTTGTTTGAGAGGAGCTAGTGCTGACTTCTTAAGAAAATGATGTATAAAATCCTAGCAGTGGTCTCCACTGAAATATATTTCAGCTCATCAATTAATGACAGGTACTGATCCAGATCTTCAAATGCCACCTCTTTGGCTATTTTAATATGACACGTTGATATCTATAGAACTAGTGTATTATTTCACAAAAAAGAAAATCCTCTGGATATAAATCTAGTGGTGTTTCCTGGTTCTGGCCTGACACCCAAGGCCGCAGTCTGAATGGATGCAAGGAGCAAGTAGTGCTATGTGTGTCCCTGTTGACATATTTCAAACCTTATTCTGTGAAACAATCCCTAGAAAGGGGGAAACGAAATACACAAAGGGAAACTTGTCCTCTAGGCATTCAAGATTTAGCTGCTTGTAATATGCTGAGGGGGTAATTCTAATGTTGTTTACCTGTCTATTTTGACTAGAGATTTGAATGAATTACTGGAAATGAAAGATGAGGCCTGTCCTATTGCCAGGCAGGCTTGCATGAAACCTGTTGTCCATGAGGAAGCGCTTATTATCCTTACTCTTCCATTAAGAAGCTTTGTCTGGCAATTATGTTGAATTTCTCTAACCACTCCATTGCACTCATTCCAGAGGTCAAATTCTCTAGGCTGTGGTACGAGTAACTCTGGGCCTGTGTCTTATGAATGCATAATGTTTTTGCCTTGCCTCACATATTTAGTTTGGCAGACAAGATAGACTATTGAAGTTATCTGAAAATCTGAGAAGTCTTTTGAACTGTCCTGGGTGATGGTTTTGCCATGCACACAGGTAGGAAGGAGTGCAGGTGAGGTGAGAGAGTTTGTATTGTCTGGGAACAGTTGTATAAACTCCTTTATTTTGTTTGTGAGTGTATAAAAGTGCAGACTCCACAGTGCTGTGCAAATAATTGACCTGCTGAAGTCGTACAGCTGACCAAAGGCATTGCTTTTTGATGTGTTTTGGTCTGTTGGATGCAGTGTGCCCAAGTGACACGTGCAGACCGTCTTCCCTGGAACTATGTAACAGAGTCCAGGGTGAAATTCCTCTCTTTTATTTTGCCAGCTCTTGTCTGAGGATTGAGGTCCCTCCTACCTGCATTCTTGCTACACGGTGTGAACCCAGTCTCCTTTGCTAAGTACCATGCAATCTTAGCTCAGAAATCTAGCATTTCTATCTAGGTGAGATGAGAAAGCTATAGGATTATGAATGTGATCCAGTCATCAGTGCTATACATTGCGAATGAGTTTGGCTGTGTTCCATTTCCCTTAGAAAGGCATAAATGCTCTACCTGTGGTTTCACGTGTTAGCCAAATGCAGACCTCTGTGCCCTGCTCTTGCCAGGTATGTAAAGGCCTGAAATAACACCAGGTGCAGCAGGGT